TGTAGAAAGATTCCGAGACTGAGGAGTCTTCCTTAACAATCTCTGTAGAGTCGGACTTCTGGCAAACATCTTCCTTCACTCGGCAATCATCATCAAGCGACGTTACGTCGGCGGTACTGACGACTTAAGCAGATGACATGATATTCTACCAACCAATAGTTGAAAATGGACAAACTACAGAGCGAATCTACTGAACTCCTACGAACGGATCTCGAACGCGGCCCGGTCTTGCTCCGGGAAAAGGTGAGTGAGCTTCCACGAGGGTCGATCCATGGCTGATACACATCAAAACGACATACTAAGTGACGTATGTCCAGGAAGGACATACGAACGACGAGGTGGCACTCAAACCTCTCTCAATAGAGTGAGAGGAGAGTCTCTCATACCCATACAGGTATAATCCTCCTCCTTGAGGTATGGGTGACCCATCATGCACATACAACAGGCTCCTCTGAGCAAAGATGAACCGGTCAGTGCAGCCGATCAGCAAAGAGACTTTCCAAAGCCTTCCACGACGACCGCCGCTCGAAAGCGGAAATGCGACCGAAACGGTCGGGCGAGCCAAAGTTGGCCAGAACGAATCGCCCTCGGCTATCGTGTGCTACAAAGACGTCCTACCATGTGCATATGAGAAGTGTCCAGCTGGAATGAAAGTAATTGGAGTGGGGCATTCTTACGCGAGTGTGGATCCAGAAGTAAAAAGAAAAAGATCTCAACACATTGTCAAGTGAGTAAGCACAAGAATCTTGCACTCTCGCAATTCCTCAAGTTGAGGAATCGCGAGAGCGCAAGATCGCTAAGCGTTGAGGGCCTCAAGGACATACCGCGCTACTTGGCTAGACTAGTAATCACCGCAGAAGATGTCAATAGCAATGATTCTTCCGAGGAAAGTGCAAGAAACTCCGCAGTGGCTGCGACCGTCAGTGGCTGCTGGTGGTTGCTATATTGAGGGAGTCACCATTATCAGCGCTTTTTGACTCGTACACATCTTCCAGGTTTTAATTGTTGAGTTATTCGGAAGACTCTCCCAGGTACTCAGAAATTGGTGGAAATGCGATGAGAACAACAACAAGCCCAACAACAGGTACGATCACATTGTTACGGCCATGGTGTGAAACAGTGCTGCCTCAGCGAAACACATTACAGCGTCTTCAACTCGAAAGTCAGGAATCAACTACTGCGAACAACTTTTGTACACTATTGCGCAGCAAACGATGACTCTGACACATTTAATGTTATTGCTACTTTTTCAAATCCTGTACGAATACGTTTCCGAGTGAATCACACTGTTTGATTTTCACCAGTATGAACTCTCCGATATACTCCCAGCTATATGCACCCACCAACCGCTAAACTCAAGAAACAGTCGCGTACAGGGAAAGGTTATGGTACAAGGACATCGCCATCGTAGCGGCTCTGTATGCTCTGCATACTTTGATAACCGAACCACCTACAACACAGTATTCCAACTCGGAATATTGACCGTGGTGAACCTACAGGCGGGATTGATAACGTTCAAGTCTATCCCGAATCTTGACGCTGGGGCTTTGAGAGAGTCTGAAGAACCGCATTAGGATCAGCAAGACTCGAGTGGGGCTTTCGACCTAAACTTTAAAGGAGCTCCTTGGAGCATCATCACCACTCTGCGGCTACGTGTGCTACCAACCAGCCATGTTAGTGCGTCCTGAAAGGCGATGTTACGGAGAAACCGATACCACAATTCACCTCGCTTCTCTGCAGTGCATTCTCATC